CCCAAACACCCCCCTCCTGAATCAACTGTGGCTTCAGGGTCTGAAGAAAACTCCAGACCAGCAGCAGAATCTCAAACCATCGCCTTCTTTCCTCCCATGCTGTGCTTCAGAATGACGCTGGAGACAGGCACCTGGCCAGGATGAACAACTTGTCTTCTCTGAACTCAGCTAGGAGCCCCCTGATGGGAGGCAATGCCCTGACTGATCTCTGGTCACCTGCCTTTCTCCTAACTATGGCTGCTCCAAACCTTCTCCTCCAGTCAAGCATCCTCCAGAAGTCTGAGCTCCTCCGTCTAAGGAGAAGACCTTGCCTCCTCTTTGCCACAGAAAATAGAGACTGTGCCTTGGGGCTCCCTCTTTTCCTCCTCTGTTAACCCCAAAACACCCGCTACAGCATCCACTCTCTCCTCCCTGGGGCTAGGGAGACCGAGAATGGGAAGTTCTGCTTTCCTGGGACAATTGTTCCACTTGTGGCTGTGACCCCACCTCCTGCCTCTTCTAAGAGGATCATCATCAATCCTGACTCTCTGTCTCACTGTCCCCTCCACCCCCTCTCTAAGCTTTTTCTAATTTCCATCTCCACAACCATATTTCCACTAGCCCAGATAAGGGCTTCAGCACCATCACCAGAAGAGTGAAGTAGCCCTACTAAGTGCTCTCCAGTCTTTCCTCTTTCCAATCCAAGCTGGACACCAGGGATTTCCAACATAAAAAGAAATGGGGCCACAAACCACTACATGAGCATCCCTGTGGGTTGAATATCAACTGGTGTTAAAGAGTGGACTTTTTCACTGTCTAGCCGTACTTTTATTCACATTGTTAGCTATGCCCCAATACGTTTTAAAATGGTTCTGTCACCCTTGACACTGTTGGGAGCCACGTGTCTGGCGCCTCCACTCTGGCCGCCTGGCCTCCTGTGTGGCCCTGCTGTGCCGCCCAGCGTGGCCCGTGGTGACTGGCTGCCAGGTAGTCTGTGGAACTCGGAATGGCTCCCCCTCGTGCTGTGTGTCTAGCCCCTGCCAGTCCACCTGCTGCCAGGCTGGTCTCTGCCAGTCCACCTGCTGCCAGGGAAGTCTTTGCCTGTCCACCTGCTGCACACCTGTCTGCTGCAAACCTGCTATCTGTGTACCCATATGCTACAAGAATGTGACCTATGTCATCCCCTCCTGCCAGACCTCTTGCTGCCAGCTGGCCTCCTACACCTCCCTGCTATGTAGACCCTCCTGCACCCCCTCCTGCTGCTGAGGAAGAGTCCTCCAACGTGCCCACTCATGGTTAGATGAGCCTGCAACAGTTATCACTGTTCCACTCCATTGAAGCAAGCCTTCTCTGGGCTCCCAAAGCATGGACCTTAAAAGGACCTTATTCTATTGATGACCTCCCTGCAGCGCAGGGCAGCAAGATCCCTGTATACAAGGTCTTGCCTGCCTTCACTGACTGCATACCTGAACAGCTCCCCTGTCTCCTGGAGGAACAGCTTTTTGCCTTGAATCTGATTGCCAGCACCAGCCCAGTAAAGCCCTGGGATCTGGCCCAGATCAGACTAAATCCTCAGCTCTGCTTTCCGACTCAGGTGTCTCATGTCTCGTGGATAGTAACAACAGCCAGAGAAGCTCTGCTTCTCTGCAGACTTACTCTTTATGCTGTACCAATGGTGGTTGGAGGGGCTCAAGGGTGACCCCCACTTTCCTGCAGCTGATGAGTATCACCTTTACTTCCCATGCACCATTCGGCTATCATTGGCCTCAAGTGACTCATCTGCCGTTTGTCAAAGCGCAAGACTAAAATGGGATAAGTAGAAGCCACATTCCACTCTCCAGGAATCTATGGTCTGGTTTTCTTTCTGTGACCTTCTTGAGGATGGTAATAGGGATGTCACGGTCTCTTCATCCCACTGTGCCTGTCATTTAGGATTGAGAGAGGGAAGAGATCCTGGAGAGTATCAACAGCCTTCCCATTTTACAGAGAGGAAAGTCAAGGCTCAGCAAAAGGAAGTGACTTGCATGAGTTCACAGACACAGGAAGCAGCAAAGTGACGGTGTGAACCTCCATCTCTGATTCCACTGTGCCCCAGTCACCTTCTCAGCAGAGGTCTCATTGCAGACAAATCTTCAGTTTCTGCCCAACATTTGAATGCCTTTCGACATCAAACTGCAAATGTTGGCTAGGATTTTTTGAGCAGTTACCTTCAGGAAGAAGAGAAACAAGCAATATGCTGATGTAGTACTGTCTTCTAAAATGCCCAGAACCAGTGCAGGAAAAATCCGATTTCCAGAAGCTTTGTGAGGAGCCCAGGAAGCCATATCACCCTGAGAAAATCTCTGGATGACATGGGAAGAGTACAACAGACAAAAATGGAAACGTCTGCCAAGATGAGTCTAAGAAACTTCTCTCCATCAACAACAGAGGAGCCTCTGCATTGGGACTCCAACCTCCCAGACTCCAATGAGCTGCAGGAAGAACTAGAAACAGCACCAAAGAAGATCAAAAATATGCCCAGTAACTGGCCTAGACCAAGGGACCATTCAGAAAGCCTGAGGGGTCTGCCCTTACACCAGCACAGCCTAGAGGGAGTGGAGGGATCGATCTTCCAGATACAGAAAGAGTGAGGATGCCCAGCATTATGGGGAAAATCACAAATATGACTACTGCCAAAAGGAGACTAAGAAAACATTAGAAAGTGCCCACCCACACAGCACCTTCCCCACTTCTACAAAACCTTTACGAGAATTATTAGCATGCACATTTAGATATGTGTGTGTCTGTGTATATACATACATACATACATATATATATATAATGACTTTGCATGTCTAGTTATTTCCATATTGTCTCTCCCTTTAGAATGTGAACTCCTTGAGGCAGGAACAGCTTTTGCCTTTTTTTTGTATCTCCAGAGACTAGTACAGGGACTAGCAAATGTTGTTGTTGTTCAGTTGTTTCAGCTGTGTCTGACTCTTTGTGACCCCATTTGGGGTTTTCTTGGCAAAGATACTAGGGTGGTTTGCCATTTTCTTCTCCAACTCCTTTTCCATATGGGGAAACTGAGGCAAACAGAGTTAAGTGACTCTCCCAGGGTCAC